TCCAGATTTTGTTATATTAAATGCATATTTGTAAGCCCCATAAGACATGAAGCTATTTACAAGGATTAAGTAGGTTCTGTTTTCAGGTACAGAAAAACTGTATCATCAAGGATGGGAAAGACACATTCTTTTTTTTTTTTCAATTACCAGAAGACATAGAATACAGTTACGCTACATGCCTTTGTTCCCCAGGCTTCCATACCTAAGTAATGTAATGGCCCACAAGGCTCCTATTTCCCTCAATTGCCCACAAGTCCTAAACTACAGTGGGATATATAGTTACTGAACAAGGATGACTCCCAGCTGTCTGATTTTCCACTCTCTGCAGAATGGGTGGCCCGTCCTCTGCTCTGAGAGAAGGAGCTCCTTTCCCCTTCCCCCTCCCTATTCACTTCAGAGAAAGCTTTCAATAGGGAAAAGGCAAATTGTCACGGGATTAAATGAATAAGGACATACCTTTTAAAATTCTGTGACATCAACAGGACTTGCTTAACTTTCCCTTCCTTTACCATTCATTTTAGTTATTTTTTAAATTGCATTTTACAACAAAAGTGGGGGAGAAGAAAAAGAAAAAGAAGTCCACAAAATTGTTTGAAATCATATATATATATATATATATATATATATATATATATATATATATATATATATATCTGAGGTTTTCGCGGGTATTTGTATGTAGGTCTTTGGTTGTTCGGGTTTTCTCCCGCGTAAAATTGGAAGTGTCTTGGCGACGTTTCGACGAAGTCCCATTCGTCATCTTCAGGCTGGTGTTTTCAGCTTCGTGCTTTGAGCAGCAATGCTCAAAGCACGAAGCTGAAAACACCAGCCTGAAGATGACGAATGGGACTTCGTCGAAACGTCGCCAAGACACTTCCAATTTTACGTGGGAGAAAACCCGAACAACCAAAGACCTATATATATATATATATATATATATATATATATATATATATATATATATATTCAAAAGATAAAAACGAAAAGCCAGAGGGTGGGGGAGCTCGTTTATAAGCACAAACGCGCCTGCACACGGCTCATAGACCTCGTTATGGGGCCCGGTCGATTGATCCTCCCATCACTCATGTCAGAAGTATTTCTGAGTTCTAAGTTCTTGCAGCTGATTACTTCTCTGTTGCGTGCGGCTCCTAGGCTGGGAGGCGAGCATTCCATGTCACTTCGCACTAGAGTAACCTGTGTAACTGCAGACCGATCCTGTGATGAAATCCCAGATCCGGCTATCTCCCTCCCCCGTGTCTGACGTATCACTCTCAGGGGGCATGCCACCCCATCCATGCTCCCATCTTCCCCTATAGCCCCCAGCCCGCCGCCCTTCCGTGCGTGGGATGCACAGCAGTTCGTTGCAATCTCCGTTCCTGTCAGTTTGGCGTCCGATTCAATTCTCCCCTCGGAGGAAATTCCAATTGTGGTCTTTGCGCGTGTGCCCTCACGCTTCCACCGTGCTACTTGGGAACGCGTGATGGAACCCTTAATATATATATATATATATATATATATATATATATATATATATATATATATTCAGTTGAGGTGGATAACAATTCCTGTGCATGGGACTGCTGGCTTTGGGATGGTCCATGCAGAAACCAAAATATGCAGCTCAGAGGTTTTCGTTCATTTCAGAAAGAAATGAGGCTGGCTGGTTTTAGATACATATGAAAATGCAGTTATTTGAGCAGATGTGATTTGGGAGGAGGTAAGGACGGGACAAAGCTGAAGCTGAAAGTTTCCTTGCCAATGAGAGGGACATGCATCAGCAAAGGAGCAGAAGCTGAGAGATGGCAGGGTTTCTTTCTAAAACTGTACCCAGTTTGATTCACCCAGACTCAAATGAATCATAAAAGCACAGTTGAATTTTTATATCTGGTAAATCTGGTCCCTGTAAGGATTGAAAGATATTTTATTTTGAATAAAGCCAAAATACAAAAGTGAAACACACAAACATATATGTGTGACTGCTTTTTTTTTTTTTGCTATTATCCTATACCCGTAGTGGCAAACCTATGGCACGCGTGCCACAGGTAGCACGCAGAGCCCTCTCTGGGGCATAGGTGCCGTTGCTCTACTCCTAGGCTGTCAGCTGGGTTTTATAAAACCTTTTTGCTTTAGGCCTCCGCTGCTGTGTGCAAAAAAAAAAAAAAAAAGGTTCAATCTCTCAATCAATTTCAACTTTTCACGGGAAAAAAGAAGATCTCACAAAGTTGGAATTGATTGATTGAACTTTTTAGTCCCACCCAGTCTGCCATTACCACCGCAGACACACCCATCCAATGGGCCATGCCCACCCAATTGCCCACACTCACCCAATGGGCCAAACCTACCCAGCACCCAACAATACATAAGTGGGTTTTGGGTTGCAGTTTGGTCTCTAAAAGGTTTGCCATCACTGTCCTATACTCTATTTCTGTTCCTATCACTACTTTACAATTACAATTTTCTCTGGACTATATTCTACTTCTATTACTTCTTTACTATTACTGGTACAGAGTAATGTATTCCTCTTAACAGAGTTTGTTAACTTCAATTCCTCTACACACACACCCCCGATCCCTTTTATTTTTTTTATTTTTTATTAATTGAGCAATATGTAAAGCACTTGCACTTTCCTTGTTGTGCTTTGTTTCGCTGTGTTTCTTACAACCATGTAAAGTGAGTCACCATGATCATTAAGCAAACTGTGTGGTTGTTAAGTGAATCTAGCATCTCTAATAAACTTTCTTTTGACATTTTCATCTGGAAAATAGTCATGTGACTGCAGAGTGCTGCAACTAGTCATAAATGTGATTCAGCTACCAAGAGTCCAAAATTATGATCCTGTGACTATGGAGGCGAGGTGGCAGTTGTAACTTAGAAGATGGGTTGTAAGAAGCTTTTTTAAAAAGTCTGTCGTAACTTTGAATGATTGTTAAGTGATTGTTCATAAGGCGAGAACTTTCTGCAGATACGTAGCTCTCCATTTCCCTTGACCATGTAGAATCTTATTCATACAATGCTAGAAGATAGATGGTTTTCCATATAAGATCAAAATGCATTATTTTTAATTGAAAGAAACCTTCTGGAGTTTCTTCTCTGAATGGTATTTCAGTGAAATTTACCAATATTCTTTGGTTAAGTTCAAGGATGATAAATACTTGACCCACTTAGGGTCATACAAGAGGTCATTGACTTAGGAATACCCATCCAATTTTGCCATTTGGTTTATTTGCTGGAAGCCTACACAAAATCATATTTCTCCATTTGGTTTTGGTACTAATACAATCGGAGAACACCAGTCACAGATGGTTCTATAATGTCCATTTGGAGTAGCTTATTTACTTCATTTTGTAATATTTCTTTCTGGAATCCCGTAGAGGTCAAATAAGTTGTCCACCAGATCTGTAAATCCTGGTTGTGTGGCGAACATATCTTTATAGTCCCAAAGTGTCTTTTCCATATACTTTGATTTTGTAGTAAGTCCAGATTGAGATTTATTTTCCGTGGGATGGTTGCAGTTTGTGTCTGCCTTCCCAGGTAAAACAGACAGGAAACATGATTATAAGAGCTTATTCTATTTTAATGTAGGGCTACATTAAAGAATTCTGCAAATTTGAAAGCACAAATTCCTGCTGTCACTTTAACTGCTTGATTAATTAGGGTGGGTCCTTCAAATATTTTTTTTTCTCCTTAACCATTAAGCAACAGAGGGCTCCTTGCCTCCCTTTTCTGATTGTTTCCTAGGCAGCTTCTCTTTCCCTTTTTCCCCAAAGCCATCCATGCATTCCATTACATCATCACATCCCAAACTTGGTTCAACAACTTTGGTTCGCTTTAATTAAAACTAGTAAAGTCATTCAAGGTTCTGGGACCCGTGATTCTATTATGACATTTCCTTAAGAGGTTAGCATGGTAAATTTCCCTTTTCCCTTCTTCTGATTTGATTTCATAATTCACTAACCCAGTTCTCCTTCTTGCTGTGTAGGGGGCCTTGCCACTTAGCTTGTAGTTAGATACTTTTTGACTTCCAAGTCCACATCCTTGGGATTCTCTGCTGATTTCTTACTCAGGTTCTAATCAGCCTCACACCTGTGCAGTTCTTCTGAGATCAACCAAGCTTAATTAGGTGCTGTTGCCATGTCATATACAATCCAGATTGTTCAGTCAGACTCCTGGCATTAAACCTTCATGTACAGGTAGTCCTTGACTTACAACAGTTCAACTGTTATTCGACTGTTACAATGGCACTGAAACAAGTTACATGCCCATTTTAAACACTTAATGATTGTTGCAGGATCCCCCCTCCATGGTCACATGATCAAAATTCATATGCTTGGCAACTGACTCACATTTATGATGGTTGCCGTGTCCTGGAATCATGTGATCACCTTTTGTGAGCTTCTGACAAGCAAAATCAATGGGGAAGCTGGATTCACTTAATAACCGGGTTACTAACTTAACAAGTGTAGTGATTCACTTAACAACTATGGCAAGAAAAGTCTTAAAATAGAGCAAAAGTCATTTAACAAATGTTTCACTTAGGAACAGAAATTTTGAGCTCAATTGTGGTTGTAAATCGAGGACTACCTGTATTCTTGTGCATGAAACTTATATTACAAACTACCCCTTTTTACCAACTGACAATTTAAACCTTTTGAGTGAAAAATGAAAGAGTTTCTTCAGATACACCTTGGATAAATTTCTAAAAATGCATTTTAGAAATATATAGAGAAATGTGACGTATGCCCTAACATACCTGTGGCAAAAGATTCATTTTTAATGTGAATTTTATACACTTGGTATAGGAGAAATCCAACTATCTAAATCTCTTTCTGTGTCTCACAGCAATGTTTTTAAAATCATTCTCATCATATAATACATATATCCAGATATACCTAAGTATTCTTAGTTCAAGATTAATTATTGCTGCCAAACCCTGCTGAAACTGTATAGTTACCTAATAAAGACAGTTTCTTCCAAAAGATTTTGACCATTCAGTACAATCAGCTGAGATGGCCGAGTGGTAAAGGTGTTGGACTCAAAATCCAATAGGGTTTCCCTACATAGGTTCTAATCCTGCTCACAACATGAAGCCTGTCTTTTTCTTTAAAAGACGATCAATAGTATACCCAGAAAAGGCTTCTTTTGCATTTTTTCTTTATATTATTTATAACAAAGTATAAAGATTCAGAGTCCTCTCAGAACTATCCTACAACACTGAGTTCATTCCAAAAATGATAGCCTTCTCAAGAAGTTAAAACAATAGTGCCACAAATATAACCCTATATCTATGGCAGTGTTTTTCAATCTTGGCAAGTTTAAGATGTGTGAACTTCAACTCCAGCCAGCCTTTGGGAATTGAAATTCACATATCTTAAACTTGCCAAATTCGAAAAACACTGCTCTATGGTAATTGAGATGTTTAACCTGAAAATCTTCTAAGGCTGGTAATATATGCCTACTCATCTGTTCTGTCTGTAAGGCATATTGATTCAAATCTTTTGTTATGGGATTGATCTGCTTGGTATACAAATATGGGTAATATTGGATACAAAAATTAATTTCCATCAAATTGTTACAGTTTACATGAGGCTTTACCTTTGCTGAAACTTCCCAGAACTCAGTCTGACATGCCTAAAAGAGCAGCTATTACAAATCGTTGACTGTTTCTCACATTTCATTATGATTGCAGAATATATATCCTCCCTCTACTGTTTAAAGCCTGTACTCTACCTGAAAAGTTCTCTATATAATATATTTTTGTTCTGTTTCCATATTTGTTAGCAGGTGGTGATTGTATGTTTACATGATTATGTGTTTATATCCTTCACATTCTTGATCTGGAAAGCCCTAGCTACCTATAAAACTCTAACATTTTGTGATAAAGTATGCCTTACATGCATTATTCAAATCTCTGCTTTCGGACACAAACAATCAGATCCACAACTGAAGAGTTCAATTAGCTATTTTATTACTCAAGCCTACTGTATAATATAGGAATCTTCTCAAACTGGTAGTTTGCACCTTGGTCAAACTAAAAAGATTCAATGGCATTCAAAGAGAAATCAGGCTTTTCCCCAGTATACCCTCACAAGGATACCAGACTAATTCCCCAGTTGACTCTTCTCCCCGGCTCAGCTAGTCTCTCTCCCATGTCCGCCCCCAAAACAAACCTATAATTTTTTTATTGCTCCAAATATAAGACTCTGGGCAGCTTGCAACAGCTAAAGCACAACAAAAGCAGACTTGTGTAAAACACCATAGTGGAATGGGGATGGGGAGGGAAGTAAGGCTGCATTGATCTGCCCTAAAATCAGAGTGACACAATCAGGCTGTCTTTACTCACTCCAATTATCAGGTCATTATAATTTGCCTTAATATCAGAATCTTGAATGGGTGCTGAAATGAGGTGGATAAGATGTCTTGTTCAATCACTGGTTAACTCAGGACTAGCTTAAAGAGCTCAAGGAAAGACAAGGGAAGACAGATTTCAAATAAATAGTGGGAACCATTTATAGAAGTTACCATTTTTTGATCATACATGCTGTGAAAAAACCTGAGCATTGTGTAGCTAGATGGCTGTACAATCAGTGATCACAGAGACTGCAGATTGAAAATGTTGAAACAAACACTGTTCTGTCAGGATGAGATGGTTTTTAAAAACGTACTTACACTCATTAAAAAAATCAAGATATTACAGCTTGCTGCCAATGCAATAAAACCATTCCCATAATCTTACTGGTAGCAATCATTTACAAGGGTACTGGCTTTAAATAGGTATTAAATAATATATTATCCCACTTCTTTCTATTCCTGTCACAGAACTGTTCATGCAGCAAAAGTATGACATTTTTCTTATATTATTCATCTTTGGACAAAGAGTTTTATCACTAAGTAAAACAAACAATTTATGGGTGTAAGATGAAATAGCTAATATTTGTATAGACCAAAAACATACATTGTATGATAATGTGCATCAAAAATTTAGAAACAAGAAACCTGTCTTGCCCACAGAAACCAAAGGCAGGTTCCTGACACTTGTTAGTGATTAAGAGTTCTCTCTTTGTCTGATTTTCCAAGCAAAGAATTTATCAATATGAAAGGTTGTTGTTACTATCAGTAAGTACATTTGAATGGCTCTGAACTAAAGCAACAATGAACCATCAGGCAGTTAGGCAGTAGGGAGGGAATCCCAGAAATGAAATTCTGCAGTGAGGCTTGCATATTTGAAAGATTTTTATGTACAATAAAGGAAGCATGTTCTAAGCAATAAATGTTCTATACATTATAAATCCAGCACCAGCAGAAGCAAACTGGAAGTTTGTTGTAAAACTGATGAGATAAAAATTGAAATAGCTACAGAATCGGCAGGGAATACATTAAGAAGTAGAAAATGAGAAATCCACCGACACAAGTCACAACCGTTTCTAAACACGGTGGTCTGTGACTACACAGTTATCAAGTGTGGCAGAATTCATGTCAACATGTCTACTCAGTAAACTATTCAATCATGAATTGAAAAGCTGCCGCTGGGTTAGGCTGAGTTTTTAAATTTTTAGGGCAGTGCAAAGGCTAATTTCAGAAATACAATTAGGCCATGGCTGCACACAGGCATAGAAAACTACCACTGGGAGTTAAACCCTGCAGTAATGTTTAATGTTTCCTATGCTGAAAATTTGAATGATTGGTCTTGATACTTAACTTTTTTTCTTTTTCGACACAGTCAAGGGAACCTAGCTCTCCTGTCTTTGTAGTAAGATTCTTTTACTAATATTTCACAATTTCAGTCGAGCGTTGATGCATTAATATCATTTCAACTCCGGCAGCTTATTTCAACTCTATCGTAGCCTACAACCTGTGTGCCCTCTTGAAATCAATTTCCAGACGTCTCCTTCCAGCATGGTTGTTGCTACCAATTCTGGGAACTGAAGTGCACACATTTGGAGAGCATCCAAGTTCAAAAGGCTATCTCACCATATTCTTTCATGGTGTCTGCATGAGCCCTTCTCTGTTCACATGAATAAAGATGCAAAGTGGAAAATTCGGCCTTATTTGACATATAGGGACCTTCTATTTACAAGCTGCTAAACATGCTTGGGTCATTGGAAGTAATTTATATGTACGTGCATACAAACATGCCCATCATACTTCTCCCTTTCAGGATGTATTGTGAAATGAAGCATGGAAGCAGAGAAAGAAATAATAAGAGAAAAAACAAAGGCATAAGCTAAGAAGAAGACAACACAGCTAAATTTAGCTCATACCAATATCATTCACTATGCACAATTCTGTGATGACTTTTTAATCTTTAACCTTTTACTATTTGTGGCTGTTAAGAAATTCCAGGCTAGATTGCAGTGGTTCTTAATGGGCCAGGCTGGTGCTTTACTCAAACCATGGCTGATTGGTCATTATCCTGCTATTTCTCCATCCTTATAAGGAGGAGAAACCACATTGATTGGCTTCTATGTAGACCCATCTAGCAGTGCTTGGCTTTTCTTTTATGGATCCTTCCTTTCTTATTAGCCACACTGTTTTTCTTTTACTTTTTCCTGATGCTTGCATTATAGTTTCCTTCTTCCTTCATCACCTTCTTCTCAGATTATCTCCTTTGACGCAAACAAAGCTTTTTTCTTTTTATCTCTTATTATGTCATCCTCACTTCTCTGATGATCTGTGATCTCTGATCTAGTTCCTCTGTAGGTTAATTGCTATGTTGTAATAATAATGAGCTGATATTTTACCTTCAGAGAAACGATGTAGCAATCTTCATACATTGCAATGTAAAATGGTTAAAAATATATAGTAAAGGAAAAAGTAAGGAGCTTTCTAGTAATATATATATTACTATATATGTATGTATGTATATATATATATATATATATATATATATATATATATATATAGAGAGAGAGAGAGAGAGAGAGAGAGAGAGAGAAATGAGAGATGAAAGGGTTAAATAAATCACAAGTTTCTAAAGATGAGACAGTTTACTGACTTAATGAAATATTGCTATATCAACTGCAGAATTATAAACCACAAAACAAGCAAACAAAAACCAACAACTACCAATCAACAGAGAACCTAGTAGCTCAGTAGCCCAGTAGCCTAGAATGAAACGATGGTCCAAGACTACTGGCCTGCTATTGAAGTGGCCAATTACTGATCAGAAAGGGACATGCCAGATATTACAGCCACCAGAGCTGGGGCTGTTACTAGAATGGATCAGAGTGCTGGAGACCACCTACTTTAAAGGACTTAAAACTTTTGTGGGGGGAGGAGAATAGTTTTGCATTAAAGCTTGAAAGCACAATTGCAGTGGGATGGGAGCAGGAAGAGAATAATGCCACACAGTCCTGCACGAGGGAACAGTGAGTGGCCCATAGTGATTGTGGGCTAAGTAGAAAGTATGGATTTACTTATGTCCCTCCACAACTGTCTATCCTTAGAAATCATCCTTGTTTCCACCATGGTCATACACTCCTTCATATAGTCTCTTCTTTAAACTTCTCGTTTCTCTTTTATTCAGGATTTCATAAATTCCATCCACATATGCCTATTTTAGTTTTCCTCTTCCTCCTAATTCCTTTCCTCCTTCTTCATGCATGTTTTGTAGTTCAGTCCTTATTCATTCTCTCTGAGTGATCAGTTCCCCATCATATAATGCCATACATGCCATGCTGCCATCATCATGATGTCATTGATAATGCAGATTACATAATTTGCATGATGATGTCAAACTGGACATGATGTCATTATGGTTTTTACCAAACAGCTCTATTCTCCTTTCCTCCTTTCTTCTGATAGACAAAAATTAGCCATTTTTATTTTTGAAGACTTTCTATAAACACAAACCCATTTGGAGCCCAATGGCATTCTTGCAAATAAGTAAAATAGCAGCTGGATTTTTAAATATACACGTTTCCCTTTTTAAAAAACCAAAATATTTTAAGATAATTAAAATTGGGAAAAGTAGGAGGCTACCACTGCAGCACTTATATATACATATTTTCATAATATCAGGAATGGCCAACTTAGATGAAGTCTCTCCTGAGTTAAGTTTAACTGTTGATAACTGTATGGACATA